TTTTGTCCTGGTCCCCTGGGAGATCCCACTGCTCCAGTGATGGGAATTTTCAAAGGAATCTGCTGGGATATCTTCAGACTGAGGGAGAGGAGGGGGAGAGAGATGAATGCTTATGAATTGGCAGGGGAGCAGGTAGAAGCTTGGATTCACCAGCCTGGGGGCAGGGGGAGGGCCAGCAGGCGGGCAGTGGGTGCTCACTCCCCAGGCCTGCAGACCAGCACAGCCTGCTAGACTCCCTTAATCTTTGTCTTTATTCTCCCCACAGCTGATTGACTTTGGGTAATAGCATTGAAATACATTGCTTCATTCTCCTGATTCCCTCTTGCAAGGATCCAAAGGCCCTGACTATGGCTTTCATTTTTCTCTTCCTTTACCTTTGATTAGAGGTGGTTATTAGCATTTCTTGACCTTTTTCTAGGAACTTAAGGTCACCCCCCATCCTGCTGCCATGCTTGAATGCATGCCTGTCATAGCAGTTGGCATAGGGTGGCATCAATCCAGACGGTCACAGCTGGTCCTCTGGACGCCACTAAGGTCTTGTTGTGTGGACTAATGGATGAGTAGCCTTTTAAGATGGCCCAGGTTGCTTCATGTGGAGCCAGTGTCTCTCCACACACAGCGGTGTGTAACCCATGTCTGCAGCAGAGCATCAAGGAAAAACTGTTAGCACTCCTGAGGCTGTTAAGACCCACAGAGGCCAGAGACAGATGTGCTGTGATTGGTGTATTTTGAGCCTTCCAGTGCAGGGATACTTCACAAAATGAGAAGCCAAGTGGAGGAGACTCCTAGTGTGTGTCTTTTATCTGTGAGTTCTGAGACTGGATGGAGAAAAGGTAGCCTCTCTGATGGCAGCATTCCATCCTGCAGTGGGTTGGTTTTTGAAGACCTCGGTAGAGCTGGTGTGAGTTGACAAAGTGAACCTTCCTTTCATTTGCTCTCGGCTGCACTGATTTTCAGGTTACTATACAGTACACATCACATTTTCATTGTCTAATCTGTTCCTCCATAAAGTGCAAGAGATCAAGCCATTAACTGTTGGCTCCCAATATTTGTCTTTAAAAACAACCACAGGTTATGCAAGCACAGTTTGCTCAGGACAACAACCCCGATGCACAGACCCTGCAGAAACTGGCTGAAAGGACAGGCTTAAGCAGACGCGTCATACAGGTGAGTGTCACGTACCAAGAGGTGCAAACAAGTCTGCCTCTGACTCTTGGTGTGTGTGTGTGTTGTTCTTTTGTGACAAACCTCAGATGCCAGAGCCTACTTTAGGGCTCTTCCACTCTGAGCCTGTTTTTAAAAACTGTGTGACAAAGCTTTTCCTGGGAAGACGAAGCACACGAGTCCACTCTCCACGGGCCAAAGTATGGAAACCACCCAAGTCAGACTTGGTGAACCAGTGAGCTTTATTGTTTCTTACCAGGGATATGGTAACGAGCAGAAATGAGTCACAGACAGCTGCATCACCAAAGCCCACCCCAGCCTGGTTGACTGTTCACAAAAGCAGGGAACCTGGACACACACTTCACAGCCTGTAGGCAGCTCAACAGTTTGGAGAGTGTCCTTTCCAGGTGCCTCAGTTGGTCTACACCTCTCCCAGCAGCTCTGGGCTGGCTATGCTCAGCTTTTATTGTTTACTCTGGCAGTGAGGGGCCTAGTGAATCTAGTTAGTTTCAGGGACCTCCTAAAGCTATTTTGAGTTGTTTGCCTTTCTGTTGAAGGGGCTTCCTGTAGAATGGAATGTTTTGATCTCAGAGGAAACTGTTACAGGACAGCCTGGCATTGGCTTCCCTGGACTAGGTTACCATTTGTCAGTGATCTTACTCAGGATAGCTCTGAGATCCTTGCCCTGAGAAACACTGCAGTTTCAAGCCAAATCTGGCCTCCTCTCTCGGCTCCTCCCCTCCCTATTCTGCCCAAACCTCTTTCTCCCTTTACTAAAGACCCAGGAGAAGGGGTGACATCACCCAAGCTAGGGAAGAGTGAGGTGTAGCCAAACGTACTGACTGTAGGATTCATGAATGGAAATTCTGGGAAACTGTTGGAACTTGCAAAATGGACTTGGAGAAGAGAGGAGAATTTATCAAAGCATGAGGAGAAGTGGGGCCTGGATTTTTGGTTCTGGTGACCAGGAAACGAGGGAGGCTTTTGTTTTCATTTGTTCTTGTTTTTAGGAGACTTGACTGCGGAGCGGGCTTTTAACTAAATTGCAGAAACATTTTTATTAATGGCATAATGAGGGCAGACACTGGCTGCTGGCAAGTCAAGAGAGAAGCAAGAAGGTCATTGCTAAATTAGAAGCCGAGGTTCTCCTGGGAAGGGTGCCCATGTCAGGAACACAGGAGTCAAAGCCCATTGGCTACTGGGAGGTGGAGCCTGTCTATCACCTTTACCCGTGCTAGCCATACGGCGTTGGTGCTGATTGGCTATGTAAACCTCATCTGAGGGGAGGAGCAGGGCGGGGTCAAGCCAAAGGGCTGGTCCTTGAAATTGGGTCCATCCTTTACAAACACTGAGTACAAGGAGTGGAGGACCTGAGGGAGAGGACAGAGTCACTGAGGCAGCACCCTGAATTAGGGAGAAGCTGAGTGAAACAGCTGAGGGCCTGGAGAAGGACGTCGTCAAAGAGATGACCACCTGAGCTGAGGTGGCATAGAGCGACTAGGGACATGGAATATCATTTCAAAGAACCGTTGAGTCTTTAAAAACCAACGGCATTCATCATAACCAGCAAAACAATCTGGCCGGGCGGTGGGGGGGTCATGAATTCCTTTTGTGGTACACACATGTCGTTTCATGTAGTTGACCCTTACCTGATTATTCTCCGGGGAGCAGGAAGTGTTTCAGAGACACCCGGGTGCGAAGCAGCCTCTCTAAAGACAGGGCTTCCAATGTGTTGAGGCTCCCTTGGGTGGCAGGTCCTGGTATCTTCTGCACTGCTCACAAGTTCAGAATATTACGTTTGTTTTTACAAAAGCACTAACAAAGGGTCAGTCCCAAAGGAGTGCTTAAAAGATCTAGATACCTTGTAATATTAAAGGCAATAAATATGAGAACAACAGGACAAGGAGACGGAGAGTCTACACAGACAGGGTGAGCATCTCCGAGCATCTGTGCATAGCTATCCTGGATGAGAGGAGTGATATAATCCGTCATGAGCTCTCCTCATGACAGGCTGCAAGTGTGGTGGTGTTGATGCTCCTGAAGGCAGTGAGGTTTCCTTGTGTCTACTTGAGACACCTGGCCTGGAGGATCCCTTCTAATTTCAGGCTTTATTCATTGTGGAGTGGAAGTTCAGATTCGTGGCTGGTGTGGCTCTAGCAAAGGAGTCAGCATGGTCTTCCCAGAGCGGTTCTTATTCCTGAAGGAGTCAGGACGCGAGAGAGACATTGACCAGGCTGTCCCAGGCATTTATTTAGGTCACCATGTGCAAGTCCAGCATTGGCACTTAAAGGTTATGTTTTTGGATTGGAACTTTAATACATGTAGATGGATTGTTAGATGGGTATGATGGCAGGTGACTCCTGGTATCCCAGCTGGCATATGACACCCTCAACAGTGGGGAATGGCATGTCTTCTCTGAGGCGGTGGCTTGTGCAGCTGTTATAGAGCCTGTGGATTGGCCCGGGACTGGAGACTTTGGGTGTGGTCTCCAGAGAATGAACGAGGATGCTGCAACCTCACCTCATTTTCCCTGGTGTACCCAAGTCTCAACCCAGCAACATTCCCTGTGCTCTCCTTAGTCACCTGCTCAGGCTGCATACCTATATTCCTGATAAGATTGCCTCCTTTGGTTTCAACTGATGGCTGACCAGCCCTCGGGTTTTGAGTGCCAAGGGGCAGGGTATGTCTTTGAAATCAGGCCAACTCCCCCGCGCCATACTTACAAGTTCTTTGTATAATCTTTCTCTTCTTTGTGCCATGAGGCTTGGCAGCCCTGGACACAGATAACATCCCTGACCTTTCCCTGGCCTGCCCCTCCCATATGCCAACATGCTTATTCTAAGCTCCCTCAGGTTTCTAAGCTCTTTGTGGTTTCTCCTGTGACACCATTTAGATGGTGGTAATCAAGTAAGTGTGTATGTTGAGTGTTAGGGATTGCACGTTAGGCAAGCGTTGGACAGTCGAGCTAGACCTTAGCCTGTGGTAGCATATTTTAACAGAGTAACACTGTATGTCGGAGTTGCCTTTTGTGCAGTGTCCACTCACATGCAGACTAGCTTCTGGACGTATTCTGGCAGTCAGGCCTCGCGTCCCACATCTGGATCTAAAGCCTCATCTGTCTGGAATGGCTTCGTTTCTGCTGTAGAGTGGAGAGCAGGGTAATAAAGGTTGGCTTTATGTGAGGCCTCACCAGTTGGATGTGTTTGTAGTTTCATTCTGCTTAAATATGACTCATTTTTTTCTTATAATAGAGTTGACCTTAGCATGCTTCTAAGGGAACAGTCCATGTATTCATTAAGAGAGAGTAAACTCAGCAGGTTAAATGTGATGGGGATGGCTCAATCAAGAACCTTGTAGAAAGCTGTGAGCTCCCAGTAGGGATTTTAATAACATGAACAAGGGTTTGAAATGCGTCCAGCAGGTGTCTAAGAATCCAGCAGTACTTCCTTCTAAAGTTCTGATTATAAAAGACTTTTCCTGCTTTCTGCTTTTTCCAAATGCCAGTAGTAAAGCTGGAGACACACTCCTACAATTCTCAAGGCTTTGCCCATTTAAAAAGGTACTTTTAAAGCATAGAATAGATCTTTAAGTAAATCACCAGAGACTAGTAGCTAAGAAAAAAAAAAAGACTATTGTAAAATGTTTCTCCATTCGGTGGACATTTAAAAAAATTTTGAGGCAGGATCTCGTATAGACCAGGCTGGGCCCCTACCTTGCCATGTAGCCAAAAATGACCTTGAATTTAGGATCTACCTGCCACCACCTCGCCAGTGCTGGGATTACAGGCAAGTGCCATGGCACCTGGTTTCTGTGGTGTGGGGGTGGAAACCAGGCCTTGGAACAGTATCCTCAGCTCTGTCTGCAGACTTCAAGAAAGTCTGTTTCTGGGGACTTGTGGTAGTGACTTGGGCCGCTGTTTAGAAGCTGGTGTGTGATCTCACTGCCTCATTCTTCTCCCTGTCAGGTATGGTTTCAGAACTGCAGCCCCCGCCACAAGAAACACGTCAGTCCAAATCACTCCTCCTCTGCCCCAGTCACAGCGGTGCCCCCATCCAGGCTGTCTCCGCCCATGTTGGAAGAAATGGCCTATTCGGCCTATGTGCCCCAGGATGGAACCATGCTGACAGCACTACATACTTACATGGATGGTAGGTAGCGCAGTCCCCAGCAGCTGGTAACGTCTAGGACGCGGTTACAGACCTCACCCACAGTTTTGAAAGATTACATCAGTAATGGCTGGAAAAAGTCATAAGGGTACAGCAGACAGCAGAGTTATCCAACCATTAGTGCAGAGCTCTGTTGCTGCTGAGCTGGAGCTGTCAATAACGACTCCGTGGTGCTTGGTTTTTACTGTGTTTTGTTTTGGTTTTTTGTTTTGTTTTGTTTTGTTTTGTTTTGTTTTGTTTTGTGTGTGTGTGTGTGTGTGTTTTCCTTGTCTTTAAATTTCCTTTGCATTTATTTTATATGTATGGGTGTTGTCTGCATGTCTGTCTGTGCACCACATCCCTGAAGAATAACCTTGGAGGCCAGAAGGAGGGTATCCCATCCGAAACTGGAGTTACAGACAGTTGTGAACCACCATGTGGGTGCTGGGAATTGAACTTGGGTCCCCTTGAAGAGCAGCCAGTGCTCTTTACTGCTGAGCCATCTCCCCAGCCCCTTTTGTTTTATTCTCAACCGGGTACATATTTAACTATTTTACTTTTCTGTGGTCAGAGAAGGTATTGACACACATCTCTGGACTGGGGTGTCTTGTTTTTAGACTTTTTTTTATTGAAGGAAGTCATACATGTAGAAAGCACACACAGTCTGGGCTTGATGAATTGCCACTCGATGGCACCTGGATAAAGGAGAGTGGCAACACTAGCCTCAGAGTTCATGCATCCTCCAGGTTAGTCTCTTCTGCCAGAGTTTACCTTTGAATGCACATGTGCCCTGGCACGCATGTAGAGGTCAGAGAACAACTTGCAGGAGTCAGTTGCCTCCTTTTAACCCTGGGGACCCTGGGATTGAACACAGGTTATCAGGCTTGACAGCAACTGCTCTTCCCTGAGGAGCAATCTTGTGGCTTCGTGTGAACTGAACCAGACAGTGGGGTCTTGTATCTCTCCCGTCCACGTCTTGGAGTGTATCACCCGTGTTACTGGCTTATTGCACAGAATTCCACTCACAGCTGTTTTCTGGTTGATAACCTTTTGTGTTCCAGTTTGGGTATTTTAGGAACGTGGTACTGTGGGCTCTCTTGCATGTCTTCTGGCACCTTCCTTTAATTCAAACTTCTATTTGACATGTACATGGGTCATATGTGCAGTTCTGCCTCAGGCCAGACAGCTTCACACTGCTCAAGGTGGCTTTCCCTTGGAGCTGCAGCAGCGTGTGAGCACCGGCCCTTCTTCATCCTGGCCAGTCTGGGGACAGTGTAGTACTCTCTCATGACCACCCTTGTCTCATGACTGACAAGATGCCCCCCCCCCCCCACATCTGTTTATCTCTTGAAGATCCCGTGTATGTCTTTGGCTACTGGCCTGATGGTTTCTGTTTTCAAAACAGATTTTATTTCTTGATTATAATCTACATATGAAGCCTTTTGGTAACTGCATGTGTGGAAAGTGTCTTCTACTTGGAGGCTTTGCCAAGCTGTTTGATGGCTTGTATCTAGAGGACTGCTCAGTGTCTTTTAAAAATTATTTGGCTGGTTGTTGTGGTAAAGGTCTTAATCCCACCACTCAGGAAGAGGTAGAGTCAAGTGGATCTCTGAGTTTGAGGCTAGCCTGGTCTACACAGAGTGTTCTGGGCCAGCCAAAGTTACATTGATAGAGGAGACCCTGCCACAAAAATATTATTTTGAGCCAATGATGAAGATTTTTTATGTTCCAAATTTTTGGCTTTCCATTTTTAGTATATTTTCTTACAATTTATCCTTTAGGTCACAAATTCTCTCTTCTCAAATATATATATATATATATGTGTGTGTGTGTGTGTGTGTGTGTGTGTGTGTGTGTGTGTGTGCATGCAAGCAAAAGCCCCATAAACATTGGCTTCTTACTCTGTTGCGATGTTCAGTTGGGGACTCTCATCTCTGTGCTGATGTCCTTCTGCTTGGCACTTTATTCCTGATCTGAACGGTTGTGTTACCTGTGTTCACACTATAAGCTCATGTCTGCTGGCTCCTGGTTCTTTTCTGCATCTAATCTGATGTTTCTCCTCTGTTTTTAGTTAAGCCAGACCTTATTATTTGCCCCCCCCCCCAAAAAAAAACCCACTTCATTTCAGATTTGGGGTAAGAACAAGATAATTTGAGGTTCTGGGTGCTGTGTTTCTCAGAGACGGCTGTAGTTTCCTGTGGTACTAAACTGGACTGTAGGAATCACCTGAAGCCCTGTTAGTCCTTAGAAGACTGTCTAATTCCATCTCACGGTTCCTTGACTTTGGAATCCCACAACCCTGCCAAAGTCTAACTTCTAAAGAAGTTGTTCACCACCTCAGCCTGTCAGATAGCGATTCCTCATGTGTTAAATTTGTTAGTATCTTTGTTAGCAAAAGCCTCATTTTCTTTCTTTCCTCTCTGGGTCTGGACTTCAAAACTTGCCACTTTGTGGGTATCTTTTAAATGCCTCCCAGCACACGATCCAGCCATTGTCTGGTTCTCCCAGTTTCTCTCAGAGGGAGATTTGGTTTGCAGCAACATAACCATTGCTGAAAGCAGAATTTTAAGTTTTGGTTAAAAACAGACAGCCTGTAATACCATTGTGCCATTTAGTTACACTGCTGTTGGAATTGTGTGTGTTCCTGTGAGCGACTACAGTGAGACTTGAGACAAACATGTTTGGATGTCAGCCAAGCACGGAGGTTCTCACCTGTAACCTCAGTGCACTGAGACTAAGGACAGGGAAGAAAAACCATGAGATGTAGTTCTGGGAGAACCTTGGTATGCCCCTCCCCCAGTACCTGCACACAGACAGGCAGCATCTGAATACAGAGCTCTCTCTGTGAGCTGCACACAGTACCTTTCTTGATGCAGGGTGCAGGTGCAGTGAGTGGGAATGAGATGGGGCACACTACAAACCACAGCTTGTGTCTCCCCTCCTAAAGCCGAGTCAGTGGTCCTGTGGAAGGGACAGAGTGACCGCTGCTTAGATCTGATACCAGGTATCACGTAGAACCGATGCCCACATCTGAGACAGTGATAAAGCCACCTTGCCTTGAGATGTCCTTGTTTGTCTAAACTGCTTTCAGTCACCCTAAAGAACTGATGCCCACATCTTTTTCTGTTTTGTAGCTCACCAACAACTCCTGGACTCCAGCCCTTGTTACCCTATACAGTGACTCAGCTGCCAATAAGTCATACCTAATTCCTTTTATCAGGGATAGAAATGATTGAGGATATAAACTTGTCATTTATTATGTATAAAATACCATTGAAAAGATATTAATGTTAATTTTTATTTAATACTCAAAGCATTTCAGACATCCTTTCGCTGCCCAGGTATGTATCTGTAGTTGGCCTGCAAGACACTTTTATTTTTTTTTTTTTTTTTTTTTTTTTTTTTTTTTGGTTTTTTTTTTTTTTGTAAAACTTATGTTTACAAGAAGAAAACAAGTCAAAACATTTTTTTTTGTATTGTCTGGAAATAGTTGGCTCTAGTGTGTATCTGTTAATTTATTTGCCATCAAAAGAGCACTTTGCCTAAAAGACTGGACTGACAATGTGCAAAATGTTTACAATCCTTTGTGAAACTGTAGATTATCATTAGTTTGTACCTGTAAGTTATTGTAATAAATATTATCTGTATTTTTTGTTATATACAGCTTTATACCCTGAAGCTTGTATGTGTGAATTTGCAACTGAAATTTATTTCTGCCAGTGTTTTCTGAATGAGCTGAAGGCGTGCTCGTCCATTGTAGCACGCTGCGTATACCCCCTGCGGTGTCTGCACTTGGGAGCTCTAGCTGTAAATAACTCCAGTTTATGAAGCCACCATCCTAAATTCATTAAACATCTTTCATCCTTGTGAAAGTTGCCGTCAGCTTGTCTTCTGTGTGTGTTGCCACCAGTAAATTGCTCTTAATTTTTTTTTTTTAAATCCATTTTGTTTTGAGCTGGGCCATGTACATTGTACTGGGAAACCTATTTGTAGAAGACTGTGCTTAACACTCACGAAAACAAACCCACAGGAAAACATCTCATTTGGCCTTTATTCGCTTTCAAACCAGCTAGTCAAATTAATGTGAACCTAAAGGCAGGATGCTTTTCAGACTGACCACTGGGGTTACCTCACTCTAGACATGAAATCTAGTCATAGGACATATTTTTTTCAAAGTTTTAAAGAAACTAGAGAAGTTTTGAGAGGAGTTTCTTGAGCCAGGGCTCTGGGATTTTTTTTTTTTTTTTTTTTTTTTTTTTTTTTTTGTCCCCTGGTGGCAGTGTTTTAGGGATTCTTAGTTCTAAATTCTAATCCCCAGGATTTAACTCTGATGCTTCTCTCTGAATTACAGAGGTGAGCAGTACCACCCCTTCACACTTGCTTGGTCTTTCATAAACCACTTACGGAGAGTAAGGTAATGAGACTCTCGGGCTTACGTGTTTCTTATTGGAGTAGACACACATATGGCTGGGGACTGGAAGAAATGAGGAAGTATCTGTAATTCCATCTTAGTCATCATAAATGCAACCAGAGTGCAGTCACATGGGCTCAAGGAACTAGATGATCTGCCTCGCTCAGGACGCTGCAAGTGGAGGAAAGGGGGGAACAATTTTCTTTTTCAACCTGCTGCTCTCGTTGGAATCCCTTTGACCACAGTCCAGATAACACAGCCAGAACTCTCTCTATCTGATCCTGGGAGATTGACGCTGGTCTCCTTGTTTCTTTCTACTTGATGCAGGGCGGGGAGGGTGGTGATGTCAGCTTTACATTTCCCAGATGTCCCCTGCAAGCTCCTGTGGAAGAGCCAAGTTCAGCACTGGGCAGTTTTTGAGCATCCCCAGCAGTGTGTGATTGACAGCCTCAGCCATGAGCCTGGGAGGGGCCCAAAGGGAAGGCTTTTCTCTTCACTGCCCTTTTCCTCTGAATCTGTAAGAGCTCGTGAAACTTCCAAAGATGAATCTTAGAGTTGGACATTCAAACACATGTGAATGGATGTGGTATAGTGTGTGTGTGTGTGTGTGTGTGTGTGTGTGTGTGTGTGTGTGTGTGTGC